TCTAGAGCCCTTCTTTTTTTTAAAGATTTTATTTATTTATTTGACAGAGTGAGACACAGTGAGAGAGGGAACACAAGCAGGGGGAGTGGGAGAGGAAGAAGCAGGCTTCCTGCTGAGCAGGGAGCCTGATGCTGGGCTCAATCCCAGGACCCTGAGACCGTGACCTGAGCCGAGGGCAGACGCTTAACGACTGAGCCACCCAGGCGCCCCTTCTAGAGCCCTTCTTGAAAACACATGATCAGAGAAAGCTTAGCATTATTAGCATAATTTCCAGTGATAGCAAGGGCCTGGAGGGGAAATCGACTTGTGCCTCAGAATTGTTTCAATATATATACACTTAGCCTCTGCCTCCTCCAGTTTACTCCTCCTGGAGTCAAATGTGATCAACAAATATAAAGAGAAAAAAATCAAAAAGGGTAGCAGACAACTGGGACTACCACTATATACAGTGGTAAGGGAAGAGCTCACTGCTGTGATGTTTGAATTCTTCTAAAGGGAGGTAGTCTCCAGTATAGAGAAGTGACCGGCAGAAGGAAGAGTTGGTAAAAACAGTGAGTCAGCTTGCTTGCAATGTAGACCATTGTGGCTCAAGATGATCAGGGGATGAATGGTATCAGAAGGTAGGGAGTGGCATCCAGATCCCTTAAGGCCTGATGGGTCATTGTGGGGACTCTTACTTTTGCCCTAAGAAGCCACTAAATTCTGAGCCAAGAAGAGACAAAGTATAACTTTGTGGTTTAGCAAGGACACTCTGCATCCCGAGTGAAGGTTAGACTGTAGGGGAGCAAGGGTAGGGGGCAGGAAGACAAATGTGGATGTGATTGCAATAACCTGAGTGAGGGATTTTAGGTCAGAATGGGGGAGGGGTGGGTGGGGGTGATCCTGGAGGAAGTATGCAGAGGCCAGATTTAATCTTGCTGATGGGTCAAATGTGGGGTTTAAGACATGGGAACCTAGCAAGGACCTTTCTGAAGCCCTAGTATAAATGCAGACCTGGAGGTTTCAGAGTAAGCTTGGTTCTTAGAAACTTTCAGGAATCTTTCTCCTTTCCCCAGTTTTATTCCCTTTATAATGCATATTGTATGTATTAGTGTTGCTCCTCTCCCATAACAGAGAAATTCCCTGACAACAGGAATTGCTTCATAGACCTTTTTTTCTCCCCCAAAGTACAAATTCTTCCATTAACCTCATGTAATGTATTCCATCGGGTATACAATGTTACAAAAACAATAGCCATTTCAAATGAATTGGTTTAATTCCAGGTCACAGAGTTCAGGATAGAACAAAGACTGAAGAGCACACATTGGCAGGATTCTGGGCTAGGTTCACTCTGACCTCACAACTAAGGTAGAAGTGACTGAGTAACAAGAAATAAAGAAAATATGAGCCACTGTATGATTATCTTTTTTACAAAAGTTTATTCTTAAATGTACAACAGAATCTAAGACAACACTTCATTCCAGCTATAGGTAGCAACAGACTAACAGCTATGACAGGGAATCCAGATGTTTAAACAGGAATGGAATTAAGGATCATCATTGCCTCGGGCACAGGAACAGCTTACTTTTTGCCAGATTTCTTAATTCCACCTGTGGCTGCAAAAGGAAAAAAATGTCTCAGCTAAGGAATATTAGTACCTGGATGGGAAAAATATACTCCTTATGGTAGAAGTGCCAGGGGTCTGATATGGATCCTAAAAAGGCTCAGCTCTTGTGCGGGGCATTCTTTTTGATACAAGCATGCACAGGGCTTTACCAATAGTCTAAGCTGGGTAATATCTGAATGAAGATGAGGCAGAAGCATGAATAATGGCTGTGCACTGGCCTAGATCTACATTGTTGAGTATTTCACACACTGGTTCATTTAATTCTCATTTCCCATCAACCCATTTTCCAGATAATGAAATCTTAGTGAGATGTTGTTCAAAGATGGTCTGAGACAAAGCCAAGATTCCATCTTGGGTAGTCTGACATCCAAGTCCACACTCTCAACTGCCACATCACACATTGCTACATTATGATCCTGGGGTGTGGTTACTCAGTATCTTTATTTTATTCAATTTACATTTGACCATATATTTGGCACACAGTAGATACTTAAGAAACAGTTACAAAATTAAATATGCCCAATGCAGTAATGAAGATCCTAAATGTCTGACAAAATGAACCTTTCAAAAACGAGGTCTTCAATGAAAAACAGGTAGTATAAGATTTCACTAAAGACTGACCTGGTCCCTATGCACAATCACAGATTAAAGAAAGGTACAAAATACCTCATGATCCAAAAGGGAATCTCAATAACTAGAATCTCAGCACTGTGAATCAAATCAAACCCACTGGGATAGAAGCCCTGGGAAGCCCTGGAAAGCCCTGGACGACACTCCCACATTCTAGCCTCCACCAGCCCCAGTGTGGCTCACAGTGATCCCATAGGGCACAAATAACTATAGAAGAAATTGTTCACTGGTTTGAGGAACGTAAACAGCATTTAAGAAGCACAGAAAAATATTTGGTCTGTTGGGCTTGAAAGATCTTTTGATATATAAGCAATTCTTCCTACATAAAGAAAAAGGCAGAATAGTGGGAGGATTAGGTTAAAAGACCATATAGCGCAATAACACATTAAGGAACCTGGACTCCATCTTTAGGCGCACCCAGAAGTGAAGACTCAGGATGCAAAAGAATTTACTAGAATTAACAATATGAGCGGTTAAGAAATGTTAGAAGCAAAAAATTGGTGAAATACGAATTTGGGGCAAGAAATTGTGGACAATATTTGGAAACTTAACTCTACGAATTTGTGTCTAAGATATATGAATTTTGGTGTTTCCATTTCTGCCGCTTCCCTAAAGAAGGGAAGACCAGACTGTCTGGGAGAAAAGAGATTTCATTTCCAAAGCTGGTCTGGCTCCCTCCCCTCCCGCTGCTGCGAATCCAAGCCTGGCGGGGGCTGTCCGCCGTAGCGGACGCGAGGACCTCACCAACGAGGCAGGAAATGGACCAGACTGATGCTCAGAATGTTTGCCCGGCTTGAGCTCGCTCTACTCGGCCCTCACTTACCCAGGGGGCCCTTCCCCGCGGCCTTCGCTTTTAGCTCCTCGAGTTTCTTCTGCTCCTCTTTCTGTTTCTGCTTGAATGCCTTATCTTCCTAGGGAGAGGCAGACGGGGTTCACGCCAGGCAAATTTCCCAGACCCTCCGCACCCGCCCACGCCTCCGCGCTCGCCCTCACCTCGTCCATCTCCTTGGCCTGCTTCTTGGGCTGCTTCAGGGGCTTCTTCTTGCCACCTGTGGGCGACACAATCATGCTCAGTTCAGTCCCCGCCGAGTCCTGTCCCTCTCCGCCCGGCCATCCCCGCACACTCACCTTCGCGGCCGGACATGGCGCCTGCCGCCCCTTCCCCAGACCCTGCCGCCGGAAGCGGAGCTCCCTTTCCCACCCCCTGCGCCTATATTTCCACGCGGGCCCTCTGATTGGCTCCTAGTCAGGAAGTTGCGCTCCCGCTGCCGGAAGCAACTCCGGGGGCGGGCGTTAAAGGGTCAGAGATCTACTGAGTGGCGGGCGCTCTGTTTGGGTTGCAGTTCCCGCATTGGAGCGCCAGGTACGAGGTGGGGGGTTGGCTTGCCGGGGGAGGGTCCGGAAGCCAGGAGGGGTGCTTAACCGGAAGGCGCTAGGCCTGGGACCGTGCATGGGAAAAGCACTGAGGGTAGAACGAAAGGCGCGTGCGGAGGCCTTGAAGTTCAGCGCGTTCCTGGAACCGAGGAAAGCACGCATGGGTGGAGGGAGATAGGAGGGAGGTGACAGAAATATGGACGGGGGCTAGATCACCTGGTCCTAAAGTTTTGGAGGCCGCCAGAAGGAGTTTGGATTTTATAATAGAGCCGGGGTATGACTTTTTGCAAAATCTGTTTATTCATTTAGTACTTTTTTGTTGAGTATGTACTATATGTAGATAGTATTATAGGCACTGAGGTTGCAGCAGTGAACAAAACAGTGCCTACCCAGGCAAAGCTGAGATTCTAGTGGGTGAGACAGCCCATAAGCAAAGTAAATAAGTGAAATACATATCGCAGGTCATGTGATAAGTGCGTGGAGAAAAATAAAGCAAAGTGGGTAGAGTGCTGGGATGGGAGTGCATGGCAATGACATTTGAGCAGGACTTGGAAAAGAGAAGGGAGCAAGCGGTGCAAATAGCAAGCCGCTGGTGTGGGGATAGCCTAGTGTGTTCCAGCAACATCAAGAAAGTGCATGCATGGTAATTACCTGAACGATGTGGTAGCTAACCTTATTGTGGTACACGTTTAGTGATATATACCTCTATCAAGTGTATCAAGTTATCACGTGTGTATCTTAAACTTACACAGTGATATATATCATTTATACGTCAATAAAGCTCGGGGGGTGGGGGGAGGAATAAGGTCCATATGATTGGAGCAGAGTGAGAAGAATGAGAGCCAGGAGGTGGATGTCCTGTAGACCATGGAAAGAATTTTGGCTTTTACATTGAGAGAAATGAGGAACCACTGGAGAGTTTGAGCAGAGAGCGGCATGGCTTGGCCTGTGTTTTGAAAGGACCACTGGCTGCTCTGTTGACCGTAGACTGTAGGGGCTAGAGTAGAAGCAGGGAGACATTGTTAGTCACTGGGACAAGGTGGTAGCAGTGGCAGGGATAAGAGGAGGAGGGATTTTGGTTTTAGAAAGGAAGTAGCATTTGCTGATGGATTGGATATGAGATGGGAGAGAAGGATGTCGGGTGATTTGAGGGTTTTGGTCTGATTTGGACTTGAAGTTTCCATCAACCAAGATGGAGAAGGCTGTGGAAAAGGCAAGTTGGGAAGGGAAGTTACGATCCCCATTAATCTTCTAAGCAGAGATGTGGATTGAGCAGTTGGGTAAATGAACCTGGAATCTACTGGAGACGTCTGGGCTGGAAAAATCAGAGTATGGTTGATAGTTTTTTAAAGTAATGGTTTTGGGGGTGGGGTGGAGGGTGGTGGCACTTGGCTGGCTCAGTCAATGGAACGTGTGACCCTTGATCTCGGGGTCGTGAGTTTGAGCCCCAGGTTGGGTGTAGAGATTACCTTTAAAATAGGTAATGGTTTTATTGAGATACAATTTATATATCATACAATTCACTTATTTAATGTGTACAATTCAGTGGTCTTAGTATATTCGCAGTGTGGTTCAACCATCACTATAATTAATTTTATAATATTCCAGTAGATGGCTTTTAAAGCCACGGGACTGAATGAGAGTGGAGTCCGAGGACCTTGCCCTGCAGCACTCTCTGTGGAGAGGTTCAGGAGATGAGTGGGGCCAAGTGTAGAAGGCGTTTCAAGGAGGAGGAAGGTAGCATGAGCCCCAGGCTGCTGATAGGCTGAGTAAGAGGAGGACTGAGATCTGATCACTGGATTTAGCAACGTGGAAATGACCTGGACAAGAGCATTTCCGGTGGCATGGTGGTTGCGAGGGCCGGATCAGAGAGGGTTTGAGAGAGGATGGGAGAAGAGGAACTGGAGACAGCGAGTACCAACAATCTGTCAAGGAGTTTGGCTGTACAGAGGGGCGGAGAAGTGGGGCCGTTGCTGGAGGGATGTCTGATCAGTTAGTGAGCAGTGTCAGGTGGGGGAGCTCATGGGACCTGGGGCACAGCTTGATCTTCCTAGAGCATGAATTCTTCATCTGGAAGAGCAAGAGAGAAGGTGGAAACTGGACAGACACTGGCAGGTGGGAAGGTATGGTAGGAGTTTAGAGAAGCTGTCTTCCAATTTTTAAATATTTTCTTAGTGAAAAATGAAGCAAGCCATCAGCTGTGAGTGAGGAAGAGGTACAGGTGATGGAGGATCGTGGGATGGGCAGTTGGTAGGAGATGGTCATCTGGATAGAATGGGAGAATGGATTTGGAGGGGCAAGGTTCTGAATGTGGCCCTCAAGACCCTCCTTAATGTGGCCTCCGTTTACCTCTTCAGCCTCTCCTCTGCCCACTCTCCTTTCCTCTGTTGTTTTCCAGCGGCACTGGCTGCCTGTCAGGTTTTAGATGACCCCAAGTGCATCTCCACTTTGCCCCCTCTGCCAGGAACACCTTCCCTGTGCTGACTGTGGGCCTGTGAGATGTTTGAATGGGGAGGGGCTGAGAGTCAGGCTGGAGTTGGGGCTGGGTGGGCGAGAGGAGGGACTGGAATAGAGGAACAACTTGAGTCATTTCCTCACAGCAAAGTCTCTGCTGTCACCAAGCTTATGTTCTAGTGAGGGGCCTGGCAACATGTAAAGAAGGCAAATATGTGTCTGATGGAGACAAATAAAGCAGGTGGCCCAGGAGGGGAATGGTCAAGGAAGATCTTGCCACGAGGTGATATCTGAGCCAAGACGTAGACATCAGGGTGAGCCAACTGGAGCTGCGGAGGAAGCAGCAGGGTTGGGTTTCGTGTGTTCGGGTACCCGTAGCGGAGGACAGGGGCAGAGAGGAGGAAGGGGATGACAGTCAAGAGGACCGGGGCTTGTTGGCCACTGGTGGGACTGGTGTTCATGGCAAGTGAGATGGGAGCTGTCGGGGGGGCGGGGGCGGGGTTTGAACCAAGGGAAGTGAAATGATGAGTTAATAGAACCTCAGGTTGTGAAGAACGGCTGTGAGCAGCAGGGTGGAAGCCAGGACGATGCAGGAGGATGTAGCTATCATTGCTGCCAGGGATGGGTGACCCTCCTGGCTTCCAGGAGTGGGTGGCTGGTAGAGGAGGAGCCGGGAAAGGAGGCTGAGAAGGTTGGAGGAAGCCGAGAGGGGGTAGTGAATTAAAAAAGACAGAGTGAGGGGTGCCTGGGTGGCTCAGTTGGTTAAGCGACTGCCTTCGGCTCAGGTCATGATCCTGGAGTCCCGGGATCGAGTCCCACATTGGGCTTCCTGCTCAGCAAGGAGTCTGCTTCTCCCTCTGACCCTCCTCTCTCTCATGCTCTCTGTCTCTCATTCTCTCTCTCTCAAAATAAAAAAATAAAAAATTAAATTAAATTAAAAATTAAAAAAAAAAGACAGGGTGTTGAAAGCTGCAGAGATTTGGAGAAGAAATCTGAGAAGCGCCTGCTGAGTCCAGCAAGGTGGAAGTTTTGCGGGGCCCCCGGGGGAGCAACCTCATGGTGGAGTGGGATCAGGATAGCATGGGGGCTGAGAACGTAGTGATAGCCGAGGTGGACACTTTTCTGGTGAATGTTGTTGAAAAGGAGAGGGCTATACTTGGCGGGGCTGCAAGTCTGTGTGCTTTGCTTTGGTGCAGGGTCCACCCGCAGGATTGTTGTGGGGTCACAGCTCAGTGCAGTGGGTGCTGGCATCGAGGCCTCGGAGGCTAGCTCGACCCCTGGATGTCATGGATGTTGTGTGCTTTCTTGGGCCTTAGGGATGGGGCCCAGGAGTTCAGGTGCAGCACCAGCTTGGAACCAGTGTCACAGGAATGTCCCCTTCTGTGGCTCTCAGTTTGGACCTGCTTTGGGCAGGAGGCATGTCCCTACCCAAGCAACTTTGTTTTCTAGAGGGCCTGAGCTTTTCCGAGCACAGCACAAGAGGGAAGAGGCTGGGATGGTCTGAGCTGGTCTCTGTTACATCCAGAAGCCCCTTTCTTCATCCCCGGAGCTCCTACAGTCCGTCTTCCTGTCCCCAGCTCCCACTGCTTTTGTCTCTGGCCTGGTTGTTTGTCCACCAGGTGTCACTGTGACAGCCAAAGTCAGTATTTGAGGGCCTGGGGGGGAGGGGGGCGCCGGCCAGGGGAGGGAGTGCTGGCCCAGGTGTGCGGGGAGCATGGGTCACCTGGCCCTCTCTTGGGGTCCTCAAAGTCCTCGCTGCTCTTGGATTCAGGCAAAGCCTGACTGGGTAATGGGAGCCTCCCTGTGCTGTTTAGGTAATGAGAAGTGGGTGTTGTTGGGGCCCAGGCATCAAAGCAAGGTTGAAAAGGGAAAGATTAAAGAAACCTAACCTGTAGGGTGCGACTGAGGCTGGAGAGGCGGGAGAAAGCTTACAGGAGGTGAGGATTGTGACACGGTACTGGGAGCCTGGACAGTCTGGGCTCGGAGCGCACAGGAGAAGGGCTTGTATGAACCTAAGAAAAGCTGTCCTCTGTGAAGAGATCCAGGCTTTTTGTTTTGTTTCCTTTTTCTCCTGGAATTGTCTTCTCAGAGGACAGCTGAGGAGGGAATTTTCTGCCTTGGGACGCGAACGACCTACGTCCTCGAACATAAGCAAAACTTTGCGTGCCCAGGGCTGCAGCAGCCCTCAGAGTCCGGGTAGTTGGTTTTGATGGCCTTTTACAGAAATCTTTCCCTGAAATCCCCTCAGTTCCACAGTTTCCCGGGGAGTCTTTACGAACCTTTGTGGGGCTTTGTCAGCATGGGCACGACTCAGGTTTGAGAATTTTCTTTGGCATTATCAGAAAACCGGGCACCAGGATTCTCATCCAAGTCACAGCAGAGACCTGGGGGATGTGGGGAAGGTGGGTTGGAATGGGAGGGTCTGGTAGCTTCGCGGAGGGAGGTAGAAGGCATGATCTCCTCAGTATGTTCTTCCCCGAGTTGTCTGGGAGCGCCCTCGGAAGCCCGACCGCAGTGGCTACTGTCTCCGGGTACAACAGAGTAGCGCTCAGTTTGGACTTTTTCATGGACATTAGTTCAGAACTGTCCCTAGGCCCTAAAACCTGACTCCTGCCCAGTGTTTCTCAGCTATGAGCTGATCTGTCTTGCGTTTCCGCTCCCTGCCCCAGATCTCCTGATGACAGGACACCGCACCACGTTTACCATGCAGCATGTCATGGGTGTGCCCCGCGTGTTGGTGCGGAGCGGCCTCCTTGGAAGGGACCTCTTTATGATCAGGACCCTCTGCAGCCCCGGCCCTAGCCAGCCCAGAGAGAAAGAACCTAAGGAGGTGGCCCTGGGGCTGTACTACCGCCTCACAGCTCTGGGAAGAGCCCTGGGGCACAGCATTCGGCAGCGAGCGTCCTCCACGGCCACGACATGGTGGGACAGATATGAAGAGTTTGTCGGACTCAATGAGGTTCGAGAGGCCCAGGGAAACGTGACTGAGGTGAGGAGGGAAGTCGGGGTGGTTGGCCCTGCCTTCTGACTCGGGAAATGTGGCCTGGAGGCTCCTGCCAAATAAATCACCAGCCACACACCACCAGCCATGCCTGCATTTGCCTTTCCTTGAACAAATACTATTCATAGAGGGATTTGACTCATTTCTCACATGACAACCTGGGTTTGATAGTCCTGGGGTGAAGATCTCTGTGTAACCGTGCTCACCTACCCAAAAAACAGGTTTCTGTGTACCGATCAGTCCCCGGCCATCGACATCCATTGTGTTAGACCCGTGGACACTTCCTACGTGGGCCCTTTGGGGTCGGTGAGAGTGTTAGAGCGTCCTCAAAGCCCTGTGTGGAATTAAAACAGCCCTGGTGAAGGTAGAGGCACAGGGCTGGGGCAGCATCCTATGCTGAGCTGGAAAGAGCTCAGCCTGGAGCTGTGAAGCCCTTGGTGGCAACAGAAACGCATTCTGTCATCTCTGTTCCTGCTCCTGCCTAGCGCAGACCAGGCTAGTGAGGTGACAAGAACCTGGGGTTCGGCGGGAGGTTTTGAGGCACCGTGCTGTCCCTCCCTTTGGAGGTCATGACCTTGGCTGAGCTGGCGTTTCTGGTTCTGGGTCTGTAACATGGAGGCCACAGCAATGCCGCTGATGGTATTGTTGTGAGGTGTAGCTAAGGTAATGTACGTGAACAGCTTCGGAACCTGGGTTCCTCTTTGTGGTTTGTATCAGACTAGAATTGCCTGGGTTTTGTGTACAGCATTAGCTATTTTCCAGTTTCTCAGGGGCACATTATTTCTACTTGAATGGATAAATCCGGGGATTCTGATGGGTGTGGCCTGGAGTTGCACTCTGAGGCCTGCTGGGTGAGCCAGGATTTTGTGTCTGAGGGACTCCTCTTCCACCGTTTTGCACCAAGACGCAACTCACCTCAGCCACAGCCTTGTTGGGAATGGAGCTGAGCCTGTGTGGGTGTGGAGAGAAGGGCAGACAGCCTCCATCATTCTCTCTGCAGGCAGAGAAAGTGTTCATGGTGGCTCGAGGGCTTGTCCGAGAGGCTCGGGAGGACTTGGAAGTTCACCAGGCCAAGCTGAAGGAGGTGAGGGACCGCTTGGACCGCGTCTCCAGAGAGGATAACCAGTACCTAGAACTGGCTACGCTGGAGCACCGGATGCTGCAGGTAGGCACCTTGGGAGGCAGCCTTTCCTCACTGGGGAGGTACCCTAGTCTGGGCAGGTCAGGGAGGGGCAAGGTGGGAACCCTCACTTGTCTGTGGTCAGAGGTCTGGTGAGGGAGGTAAACCAGAAGGTACACTGGGCCCCAGGCTTCCGGAGCCTATCCACCCACTTCCTCCTGGAGTTCGAAGTCCAAGGCAGTATAATCTGGGTCCCAGATTGCTGAGGAGAGAGCACCGTGGAGGAAGGACTGGCCCAGAGAGGACACATTCTGTAGTCATTATGCATGTCTCATCAGACCCAGCACTGCTTGGGTAGGAGGTAGTACAGCTCATCTTGACCCCCCCCCCCCCAATTCCTTTGCTCCCTGTCCCGACCGGGCTTACTCTCTTCATTCACCCAACGGGTTTACAGAGCATGTGGTCTGGGCCGGGCTGAGGCTGAGCCCCAGGAGCGTCTGCTCGTGGCTACCGCTGCAGAGCCACGTTCCTGCTGTGTAACACAGCTTTGCTTCTGCAGGAGGAGAAGAGGCTTCGTGCAACCTATCTGCGTGCTGAAGACTCGGAGCGAGAGAAGTTCTCCCTCTTCTCTGCAGCTGTGCGGGGAAGTCACGAGAAGGAGCGCACTCGAGCTGAGAGGACCAAGAACTGGTCCCTCATTGGGTCAGTCCTGGGGGCCCTGATTGGTGTGGCTGGCTCCACCTATGTGAACCGTGTGCGGCTACAGGAGCTGAAGGCCTTGCTCTTAGAGGCACAGAAGGGGCCTGTGAGCCTCCAGGAGGCCATCCGAGAACAGGCATCCAGCTACTCCGTCCAGCAGAGGGACCTCCACGACCTCATGGTGGACCTAAGGGGCCTGATACAAGCTGGGCCAGGGCAGAGTTCTGGGGCCCAGGCAGGTGCTTCCCCCACCCGAGACAGAGACGCAGATGTCCTTTCAGCCACCTTGAAAGAGCAGCTCAGCCATTCCAGGCAGGTCCGTTCCTGTCTAGAGGGTTTACGAGAGCGGCTTGATGGCTTGGAAAAGACTTTCAGCCAAACGGCCGAGGTGGTTCAGCTTGCAAAGGCTGCAGTGCATCCGAGCCTGGTGGAGCCAGCAGATGGGGCTCTGCCTGGCTCCTTGCTGGAGCAGGGGAGCATGATCCTGGCGCTGTCGGACATGGAGCGGAGGCTAGAAGCCCAGGTCAACAGGAACACCATCTATAGCACGCTGGTCACGTCTGTGACATTTGTGGCCGCACTGCCTGTGCTCTACATGTTGTTCAGGGCCAGCTAGCCCCTGGACCCCCCTCCAGAGGGCCTGAGGGGATAGGTGTGGCTATGGATTTAGTTAGAGAATCCCAACGATGAAGTGAGCCGAGCCTTCGGGTCTGTGTGGCTCACCAGCAGGCATACTTTGCTTTGTAGAAAATGCTCACTTATATTAATTATCAAAACTATGTGCTAATGTCCAATTAAAATGTCTTTGGGTTTGTGTTATTTAAAGTAATTTACATTAGATGGAATTTTTCTTGTTGAAGACTTGAGATTTGGGATTCGAGGGTTGGGCCTGGAATTACGGTAATCATCGTTCCCTTTAGTTCCTCTCTCACCTCCTCTTGGTCTCATCCTCAGTTCAGGACCATGTTGGATGTACTTACCCTTGAGGCCTGGGTTTTTGTTTTGGATTGCCTGGCCTGGCCTCTTCTTGCCTGACCCTCCCCTGTCAGATAGCCTGGGGGTTCCAGTGAGTGGAGTATAGCCTGCACACCCACTGTTGACCATGGTTACTGCCCTGTTTCTGGATTACTTTCTTTGTCAGGGTGGGGAGAACCTTCTGGTTCTAACACTGGAGGGATGATCGGAAGAGAGCAGGGAAGAGGGATCAGGGGAATGGTTGATAAATATTGCTGGGGACATAACTACAGAGATTGGTAGCCAGTCCGGGTCCCTGTGCAGAGAAAGCTTTGGGCAGCCCCGTGTGCCCCTAGAGCTAGGTGTCCTCCCATACGCAGCCTAGGGACAGCCTGTACCAGGAGGGGCAGAGCTCAGCCCATCAGCAGTGTGAACTAAATGGCAAGGAAGGGGAGGGGCCTCCCAGAGGTAGGAGGTGCAGTGGGGGGCCCTGGGGATGGACTGCCTGGAAACTCCCAGCCTGTCCCTTTTCAGAGAACAGCAACCTTTGACCTGGGCTAACTGGCTATGGGTGGCCTTGTGTGTCCTTGAGTAAACAGGAACAGCCAGGAGGTACTCTGTCCTCCCTGCAGGTCTGGAAAAGCCACTCCTTTCAGAGTGTGTGGAGGTATGTAGATCTGTGGGGAGGGGCTTCTGTGGGCTGGGACTTGTTTGCCTGGGCCTTTGTGGAGCCCACTTTCTGCAGGGGCCTGTGGAGCCGGTAGGGTTTCCTATGAGGTACCCTCCCTCCTCGGAACCTGTGGTCAGGCTTGGGCTGTGAATACAGCCCAAGTGGCCCACAGGTTCTGTGAGCCTCTGAGCGCCTGGTGCCTTGGTCATTTGGTCACTCCATTCTTGACCTTGTTTTCTTTGTGTCATGGTTCCTCAGGACAGCATGGGATGAAATGACCTCTGCTTGTGGGATGTTCACCCTCCTGATGGGGTAGGAGGTGCCATATCTGTGTACAGATGAGGGATGCTGTGGGGTTTGGAAGTCCCATGTCCCCCTTTGGGGTGAAGTAATTCCTAAAGGGTGCACTTCAGTGAATGGATTTGAGGAGGGGAGGATTCCAGGTATGTGGGAGGGGCCCCCCCCACAGGCTGCACAGGCAGGAAAGCCAAGGGGGCTGAGGTGGTGATGGATGTGGAGGAGTGGTGGAGTACAGGTTAGAAAATGAGGTGGAGGGCCTGGGGTCTGATGCCAGAGGCCAGGAATAGGAAAATGGGAAGGGGGTGCCATGCTGGTGCACGGACCCAGGTGCTAGAAGAGGGGATGGAGGAAAGGGAGTGACCTGAGAAGTTGGTGAGAGAGAAATCGGAAGGCAGAGTTGGGTAGATGAGAGTGAAGGCAGACTCTTGACTGGGGGGAGGGGGTGGCAGGTGGCAAGAGAGTGCCTGTGGTGTTGGCTCTTTGGACAGTAGCCAGTGTGGGTGACCTGGACCTTCTGGTTGAGGCTCTCCCTAGCCTGTGGAGGCTCTGGGGGCTTCCAGGGTGATATGTGTGACAAATTTTGCCTCCCAGGAGGCTATCCCTATGTGTCTTGAGCCAAAGTCCTAACAGGATGGGCCATGTCCTGGCACCTGAGTTCTCAGTGGGCAGGCCAGCCTGTGTGTGAAGGGCCCGGCAGAGGGCACAACTGGGTCTCTGCCCAGCGGCCCCTCCCTAGAAAGGCCCAGGTATTTTTGCCAGTGAGGGAGTCCAGACTTGCCCAGGGCTTCTCAGCTTAGGGTGGGTCCAGGTACAGGCCTGGGAGGAAAAGAAGTAAATGTGTCCTTGCTTGTGCACTTTGCAGCCCGCGTGCGCTCAACTTTAACAGCCGGCTAGGTGTGGTATCCCCTCTTGCCGGTGAGCAAATAGGCGTGTATGGGGCGTGGGGGTGGGGGGGCGGTCAGGTTACTAGGCTTAGGGGTGGCACAAACCCAGGCCCAACCCCAAAGCCTGTGCTCCTCTCGCACAGCTAGAGGTTGGGGCCGGAAGGAGGGGGTGGCTGTTAGGGAGTCCGGAGAGTAGGGGCGGTGGGGAGAAACCAGGCGCCGAGAAGTTCAGGTAAAGAAAGTTGGAGGACGGCCACAGAAGGGAAGGAGGGAACTCGCGGCGCTGGAGCGGGGGTGGTGGCTGGCGAGCCCGCGGGGCCGGTGAGGGGCGACGGAGGCGGCCGGGCGCGGGACCTGCACACCTGTGGGTGCGGAGCGCGCCCCCCGCCCCGCCCATCCCAGGAGGGCTCCTGATTCCGGTTCCTGCGCCGCGCGCAGGTGAGGCCCGGCGGGATGGGGCCGGGCCGCCGGCGCTCCGGGCTTCGCTCCTCGCCCTCGGCTCGCCTGGCCGCGACCCGCGTTGCCGTGGCTACCGCCGCCGTGCAGCCTGCGCCCCCACAGGGAGGGGTCGAGTCCCCGCCCTCGGCAAGTGCGGAGCCCGTAGGGCTGGAATGCGGGGTCCCGGGCGGCTCGGGGCCGCGCGCCCGGCTCTCGCGGCTGCTTCCGGCCTGGCCTGGGCGGCGGGCGGGGGGAGGGCGGCCCGGCGGGCGCGGGGGGAAGGAGCGAAGCCCGGCCCGGCCGACGCGGCTTTGTCTCCTTTGTTCCCGGTGGTGGCAGCGGCGCGGCGGGAGGGGCGGGCAGCGGGCGCGCTTTTCCGCCCCTCGGTCTCCGGGTAACAGCTGCGGCGCCGCCGGAGCCACCTCCGGGGGGGCGGGCGGGGGGCAGCGAGAGCGCGGCGCGCAGATCCCGAGCCCGCAGCGGCCGGCGCCCGCCTCGGCGCGCTCCTCCCGCGGGGCCCGGCCGGGTGGTGAGTGCGGGGCCCGGGGACCGGGCGGGGGGCCGGGGGTGGCGGTGCGGCCCCTGGGGGGAGGTGGGCAGCTTCGGTCCTGATGCCGCCGGGCAGGGGCAGCCCGGGCGAGTGGTGGGCAGCTTCGGTCCTGAGAGTTGGGACCACACTTCTCCGCACTGAGGGAAACTCTGGCGGCTCCGCCTGTAACGCGATTGGGAGACAGAGGAGGTGGAGCCGCTCCTCCGCGCCCCCTCCTCGCAGCCGCCTCAGCCGGGACCGGCCGGCCCCTTCCCCGCCCTCCCAGGACCACTGGTGGGGTCCTTGCCCTGCGGCCGAGGGAGGAGGGAGGAAGAGCCGATGGGGAGGTCGAGGCTTCCCCTCTTGTACGTTAACAGCCTTTCCAGGCTACGCTCGGCAGCACTGACAAAGGCGGACTGTGAGCCTTGTGTTAGGCATCCCCAGAGGGGGACCCCCCACCTCCCGACACGACCCAGGCGGTGGGTGATTGATGAGCGCTCCTGAGCCCTCGCGGGTGGTGCAAAAATGGTGGGCCCCTCCACCCCACCTCCACACACAGACAACAGGGCGAACAATGTGCACTACAGCACTGTCAATGAATCTCCTCTCCTGGGTGGACCCTGGGAGCCGAGCAGGAGAAGGGGAAGGAAAGGCCAGTTTCCCGCTGATCCCTGTGACTTGGTAGATGAGGGCTGGGGTATCCAAAGGTGGAAGGGCAGAGTTTGTTAGCCCCTTTGGTTGGTGAGGACAGCCTCCGGACGGCCCGGAGTTACTTTCTCTTTGCAAAAAGAAGTTAGGCAGCTGTGGGCTCTGCTGAAGCAGTCCAGAGAAAAGTGGGCCCAGAAGAGACCTCAAGGCAGGCCCGAGGCCCCAGGACAGGCAGAGTTAGGCTTTGCCTGTGAGTTTGGATGAGGCCTGAGATCTGGTGATCCTGCAAGTTGAGGACACGAGGCTTGGCTCCAAACCAGCCTTTTCAGTCTGCTCTGGCCTGGTTATTAATAAAAGTGGGCCTGACACCTTGCCCCTTTGAGAGACCAAGTGGCCTGGAGAGGGGTGTGGGCCCCACATCTCCCCTACTGGCTGGATTTCCTTGGCTGTGAAATGGGGGTTCTTTCAACATGTAAGGAGCACTTGCTTTGTGCTGATAGCTGTCTTAGTTGCTGGGACCTCTGAATCAAAAGCCACACTCCTTGCCTGCAAGGAGCTTCAAGTCTAGAATGGGGAGGGTGGAACAGAGAGAAAAGTGGCCTTGGTTGGTGCCACTCATGCCAGGCACACACCATTCCATATTTAATGGCCGGAGCAGTCCTGCCTCCCATTCTACAAACTGGAACTCTAAGGCTCAGCCCAAGGCAGAGCTGTCGTCCACACCAGGGTGGTAGCTGGGTATGTCCATTCCATCTGCCACACGGAGCCTGGGGGAGACAGGGGAGGCTCTCCTGGGAGATGGTTGGCAGTCAGAGTTAGGCAGATGGAGAGGGAGTGGGCATTCCAAGCAGGGAGCAGTGTGAAGCAGCCCACGGTTCAGGCCAGCAGGAGCTAATAGATCTGTGGGGGAGCCCTGGCATGCATTAGATGGAAGAGGGCGGGGACTCGAGGGCTGTGACCTTTATTCTTCAGGCCTGGGGACAGGGGAGAGAGACGCTCTGATTCTGCTTGAAGATCCTGTGAGGTAGGAGGGGCAGCCTGGAGGGGCTGGGGGCTGCTCTGGCCTGTGGCAGAGGTTAGGTGAATTTGAGTGCCCAGTAGGGAGGAGAGGTCACTGCCCCTCTTTTCCCCCTTCTCCGCCTGCGGTACGTGGGGAAGGGTGAGGGTCCTGCTTCAGTGATTGAAGAGGCCCGTCACTTTTCCCTGAGTGGCTCAGCCTCCAGCCTCCTTTGTGGGCCTGGCCAGGAGCTATTCTGATCCCTTCCATTTTCCTGTGGGCCATTTGACCCAGTTGTGATTTTACATTTGGGGAGTGTCTTGGTTGCTGCCCCTTGAGGGCTGGAAAACCTTGGCACGCAGTAGGCTCTGAGCAAATGTTTGTAAGCGAATGGAGTGACTCTTGGTCTAACTATGGACCTTCTGCCCCTAGTGCATCCCTGGGCAGGAGGTGGCCGGAGGGAGTGAGCAGCAGCTGAGTGCAGGAGATAGCCTCTGCCCATCCTCAGGCAGACCCTGTCTTCCCAGAGGAAGAAACTCTTCCCCCATCCCTTGGAAACAAGGTGGGGGGCTCCTGGAAGCCTGGCCTTGCCATAGTCCTGGGTTCACGACTCTCCCTGCTATCCCTTTTCCCCCACCCCCTCG